AAGTGTTACGTGAATGGTCACGAATATAATCTTGGGGAGAAGTTGAGACAGGAGGACAGGAATCCTTGCGATATAGCGTGTGTATGCACGAAATATGCGGATGAACAAGCGTAAGTACATTTACGCGTGTGCGTCCCGGCAGCCTCGGGGCACAGTTAACAATTCTAATATTGTAATTACTGAACGTTCGCGACTCGACACTCTTTGATACATCAATAATAAATTCGTCGATCAACGTTATGTTGGCTTCTTCTAAGTACTATTAAAATCAGGTTTTTCAAGTTCATTTGTACGGCGTGGCATTATCCATGAAAAAATAATTTCTCTTATCTTGGATCGAAACGACAAAATAAATGGTTCGACTTCTGTTCGGTTCCGCTTTAAAGACCAAGAGTTTAACTATCTTTGATCGTATTAATATTTTTTAAATAACAGATTGTAACACATGTTTAATTGTACACAGTGCCATGTTTGTTTGTGCAATCGTAGACTGCCCATATCAAGCGCTTGAACCGGGTTGCTACTTCAATAGATCCGTGTACCACTGTTGTAACAATTACGAAGAAATTTGTCGTGAGTAAATACAGCACAATAAATTGCAAATAAGTTTAATTTGTTATAAAGAACTGTTGCATTCCGCGTGTTAAAGTTCGTTGAATAATATTAAATAGAAAGAAAAAATCGTTACGCAATTAATACGCGTAAATGATACAAACGAAAGCAATTACGTTGTTTAGCTGGAGAAGACGAGCAATTGCCGACGTGCGAAGTAGATGGTGTAATTTACAAGGCGGGTGACTCTTTCGAACCAAAATCTGATCCAGACATGACTTGTTACTGTATGGCAGGATACACAGGTATAGAATTCATATTATATCATCTGTAACGTGGATTAAAATTTTTTTAAAACTCGTAGAAATTCAAAGTCGTATGTATAACCACTATGCAAAATATTATAGATGTTGAAAATGTATTTATTCCTAATATTTAGAAAACAGTTCCTTATACAATTATTTCAGAATGGAGTGAACGTTTCTTTAAACTAGTCTATTAGAAAGTATTAAATTATTCTTTCGATCTCGCATCGATATAATATTAAATCATTCTTTGAGAATGGAATCGTAAATTAAATTTATAACATAACATTGTTACATATATGTTTTAATATCAACGCATTGATAACGAAGGAGATTTAAAAATTTATTTTTATGGATACTTTCAATTTTTAACGCGAATTAATCGTTTAGGTGAAAATATTGAACCCTTCTGCAAGAAGCCAAATAAACCGTATTGTGCTCCTCTATTCCGCGATGCTGATCCGGTTCATCGAAATTGTGTGCCCGTCTATTATGACCAACAATCCCCACAAACAGACTGCAATGTCATGTACAGATGTCGTAAGTTTGTAATAATCGTTATACAGAAATTTCTGCTTCGCTGAAAAAAAAGGAATAATTCCTTTGGCGGACGCGTATCCTATAAAATTGCTTTCCATTTCGCAGAGAATGAAAAGGACGCTGTCATTCACAAGCACGATAGTGCTAAGTCCGTCTCTGATGCAGGTACGTTTATCTATTAAACTCGTAATATTGATCATTTCAGATCAATTAATGTTTAAATTATTTTCTGTTTCATCCAACGATATGATTGAATTTAAAATTTGACAGTTCGTTGAAAGTTGATCGGAATTCGTAATTTTACACGTGTTTGGAGAACGAAACAGTTAGTTCGATATTTTCAGATTACAGCAGAATTTGGAACTTGCAGGTCCCTGTAGGGAATAGTTACATGGACTCTGGCAATTGTAAGCTTTTAAGTATAATTGTTCTGAATTTTGGAACATATTAGAATTTACGCGAACCTTACACGAAATTAAAGTAGAATCGTATAGATTGAAACAAGTGTTGATTGGATTTTGGAGCGCGTTTAGAGATCGTATATTTGACCGTCTAAATTTGAATATTTTTTCTGACCTTTTCTAATTCTGTCCTTTATACGCGCTCAACGCTGGAACTATCGACACTTGTGATGTATTTATTTATTCCAAAGAAATGAGAACGACAGATAAACGAAATAAATGTTTATTCGTTCTGTTATAGAAAAATACAGTAAATTTTCAGAAATCTAGTCATTTTCAGAGTAAATTTTTTACAATTTTTATTAGAAATTACGAATGGGTCATTTTGAGCACATTGATAATTCTAGTGTTGATGGAAACTTTATAAAATTTAATCAGCAGTTGAAACAGAGAACGTACGAAACATTAAGGAAGATCGAATTTACAGAAGCTGAGTTCTATTATTCATTATCGGTATTCAGTGATCGGTAATAATTGTATTATGATGTTGAATTTGCAGATAATGATATGTGTCGATTCGGTAACATGACGATGCACATGGGTGATGAACTGAACCAAGGAAACGACTATGATTCTGTGTGCGTAAAGTGCGTGTGCGAAGTTCCACCTGTTCCAACGTGTAAGCAACTTCCTTCCGACGAATGTGACGTTACGAATCATGCTCCATTCGGGAATAATTTCTGAACCTAGAAATCTGTGATTCATACCAACGAAAAAGTATGAAAATATATTACTAGTCTTACGTACCTAAATATTGCAAATTTAAGGCAATAATTGCTATATCTGTAAAAACAAAAATTAGTCACTGGATGAGTTAAAATTGTTAATTTAATAAAATGTTTTAAAACGGCATTTAATGGTACGACTGTTTCGTTTTTCGTGTTTCTTAAATTATCACCTCCCGCCACCAGTGAATTATCATATTTTTAAAAACCCCATTAGCCTACATGAGGAAATATAATATTTTCACATGTTGAGGACAGTGCTTATAGGTAAACAATATAGATAGTAAATAATAGAAAAGTACGCGTGAAACAAAATAGAATTGACATCGAGACTTACAACTTAATTAGAAACCTGATTTTTAAATGAAAGAAATTTTAATGCCAGAAAATTCAAGTACAGAATACAGTATTGTCTCTATAGAAGCGACGCTCTCGGGGCTCAACGCTCGGCTATATCGTGGACGAGAAACGATTCTTGATACTTTGTTGACGCCTACTGGAGGCGGCGAGTATAGAAAAGAACAGCGAGCATATGACAAAGAGGGACTGAGCGGCCGAGCATCGCCGAATTTGCAATCGCTTCCTTCGCTTCGGGTCGGCTGTAACGAAACACAGGCGATGTTTATGCGAGCCTATACGAAATCGGTGTTCTAATTCTGACTTCTACCTCTCTTGGTAGAGGTCGCAGAATGAAATACTGATTCTGTATAGGCTCGCGTAAACATCGCCTGTGTTTCGATACAGCCGACGTGGAGTCACTTGAGCGATGCATGCCTTTGATTTCTTATTGCGTTAGTAAATAGGACCTAAATTGTATATCGTATTTGGTGTCATTTTAATCAGAAAAGTGTCACGAATATGTTGATGAAGTTTGAAAAAAGGAAGAACAAAAATAAAGATGAATTTCGTTGTTGATTTAATATTGTATATGTACTAGTTAAATCGTGTCATAACTTCAGTACATATATGTATGTATCGATCGTTTACTGCAATAGTGATATAACCCGAAAAGATATACATAACTTGCGAATTTAAACTGTTTAACCAACTTATTTTACTCTGAGTTGTCTCACGATTTCGGCAAATAAATGATAGGTCAATTAAATTACAATTCCTTTTTTCAGATGAGGATACACTTTAAAGAAAGGTCAAATGTATATTATAATTTATGAAAAACAATAATAAAAATTATGTTGTACTTGATCTTAGTTAAATCAGAAAACTGTCACAGACATGTTAAAAGTTTCAAAACAAGAAAACGAAAATTAAAAAATTTGTATTATTGCACTAGTGTTGCCTTAGTAATTTGAGCCCGTATCGTATGACAATGTTCGACGACCGACTGTCAAACGCGCCGCTATCTTGGGGAACCGCCCATAGGAAGGCATACTCGCCGATACAGCGAGTGCTTAGTTCTAACGGTACGCAGTGGGGATAAGTAGAGGGGATATGATATTTGCCTATATCGTGGACGAGTTCCGAGCTTATATAGAGAAAATACTGTACTTACCTTGAACAATATGAAAATAATAAAATAATATTCTCTTTATGATACAGAATCTTTACTCTATTTATACGATATGCGACAGCTAAAATTTCTGTTAGTCATTCATGGTGTGGGGGTGCATTACATCGTATGGTGTAGGTTCGCTAGGATACTTTAGAAAAAAATTTACTGAAAACAATACCAGGGGAATAACACACACATTCGTATTCATTATAGAGATAAAAGTAGAGAGACAGTTGTTTTACAGAAAAAAACAATAAATCTCCGCTAAATATCAAATGCTGTCGCTTCTATAGAATTAGTATCATCCGAATGCACCAGTTTTATTCGCGTAACAGAAGAACGAATATGCCGGTTTCAAACTCAGTCATTTCAAACATGTCTCAGACATCAAACGATGACTGATTTGTGGCAAAGACTGCAAGAACACTGGTATTCTACTATGCCAGAGTATTACGAACAGTATTAAGTATGTTTGAAGTTATTGAAGCAATTATCAAAATTAACCGTTCATGGACAAAGTATTAAGTCTACCAAAATCGACTACTCGAGAAAAAAAAATTGTACGAAGCAAAATAATAACGATGCCACAAATGTTAAATATGTTTTGAAAAACCAGAAGATACTTGACGATCAGCTTGTTGTAATATCTGTGTCTAATCATCGATAGCACGTCTGTTGCATTGTAACTTGAACGTGCGTATGATAATCGACGAGGAGATACGTATCGGTGATTGATGTTTTATTCGTTATTTGCAAGAGACGTTGGTTCCTTCTCTTTCTTCGTCAGCGTCGATCAGTGTCCTTCGCGAGACGCTTGTCCACCGATTTAACGAAACGTAGCATGTTTCCTCCTACTCCGTAAACCTTGACATAGGAAATCCCCTTCCCGTTCTGACGTCAACATTACAGTCAACCGCGAGTCAAAGTATAAAAGGCGCGGCGCGATTATGTCCGCACGGTCTGTTCAATGACGGCTACAAGCTACTGTGATGTTCGCACGTTCGCACGAAACTGCGTCTACCTGGCGCTTCTCATCGTCGTTTCTGTACGATCGGAAGGTAAGAAATCGATGTTATTTAAAGCTGTCGTCGTTATTTAAGCAAACAATTAACCCCTTGACCACGAAAAAGAATAGATTTGTTTTACGAATACCTCGTAAATGTAAAAATGCAATATAATAAATATAAGACTCGATAACGAGCGAGTAGCCTCGTTATTGCGAAGACTATTCGCGTAAATATGTTTATTCGTTCGTACGTTATGCAGTTACGAAATTCACCGATGGTTTTATGAATGATTATACTAATTTTGAAACCGATAAGACGTAGAATAGTAAACATTTGATACTGCTAGGTGTAAATATCGCTTTTACGAACTGCTGCAAAACCAAGTTGATCTATTCTTCTTTTTTCCATTACCAAACGAATTAATTTAACCTTTAATATTCTCTTATATCATTTGCAATAAATAATGATTTATACGAAACTTGTGGTCATTGGTTCAGTCATGCTCAGTAAATACTCGATCTTCTTGATCGACGCGTGTCGTGAAGAGAAGATATTACGCTAGTTCTGTTTTATCTAGTTGTCGAAGCCGTTTGCAACAAAACACAATGCCTCGGTCCTCTGTCGTATTACAAGGCGCTAGGTTGCAAACCGGTGTACAAAAATCCCAACGATTGTTGCGCCGAGAAATATGACTGTAGCTTCTTGAAGGAATTGTCGAAGGACAAGTGTTACGTGAATGGTCACGAATATAATCTTGGGGAGAAGTTGAGACAGGAGGACGGGAATCCTTGCGATGTAGAGTGTCTATGCACGAAATATGAGGATGAACAAGCGTAAGTACATTTACGCGTGTGCGTCCCGGCAGCCTCGGGGCACAGTTAACAATTCTAATATTGTAATTCCTGAACGTTCGCGACTCGACACTCTTTGATACATCAATAATAAATTCGTCGATCAACGTTATGTTGGCTTCTTCTAAGTACTATTAAAATCAGGTCTTTCAAGTTCATTTGTACGGCGTGGCATTATCCATGAAAAAATAATTTCTTTTATCTTGGATCGAAACGACAAAATAAATGGTTCGACTTCTGTTCGGTTCCGCTTTAAAGACCAAGAGTTTAAGTATCTTTCATCGTATTAATATTTTTTTAAATAACAGATTGTAACACATGTTTAATTGTACACAGTGCCATGTTTCTTTGTGCAATGGTAGTCTGCCCATATCAAGCGCTTGAACCGGGTTGCTACTTCAATAGATCCGTGTACCACTGTTGTAACAATTACGAAGAAATTTGTCGTGAGTAAATACAGCACAATAAATTGCAAATAAGTTTAATTTGTTATAAAGAACTGTTGCATTCCGCGTGTTAAAGTTCGTTGAATAATATTAAATAGAAAGAAAAAATCGTTACGCAATTAATACGCGTAAATGATACAAACGAAAGCAATTACGTTGTTTAGCTGGAGAAGACGAGCAATTGCCGACGTGCGAAGTAGATGGTGTAATTTACAAGGCGGGTGACTCTTTCGAACCAAAATCTGATCCAGACATGACTTGTTACTGTATGGCAGGATACACAGGTATAGAATTCATATTATATCATCTGTAACGTGGATTAAAATTTTTTTAAAACTCGTAGAAATTCAAAGTCGTATGTATAACCACTATGCAAAATATTATAGATATTGAAAATGTATTTATTCCTAATATTTAGAAAACAGTTCCTTCTACAATTATTTCAGAATGGAGTGAACGTTTTTTTAAACTAGTCTATTAGAAAGTATTAAATTATTCTTTCGATCTCGCATCGATATAATATTAAATCATTCTTTGAGAATGGAATCGTAAATTAAATTTATAACATAACATTGTTACGTATATGTTTTAATATCAACGCATTGATAACGAAGAAGATTTAAAAATTTATTTTTATGGATACTTTCAATTTTTAACGCGAATTAATCGTTTAGGTGAAAATATTGAACCCTTCTGCAAGAAGCCAAATAAACCGTATTGTGCTCCTCTATTCCACGATGCTGATCTGGTTCATCGAAATTGTGTGCCCGTCTATTATGACCCAGAACAATCCCCACAAACAGACTGCAGTGTCATGTACAGATGTCGTAAGTTTGTAATAATCGTTATACAGAAATTTCTGCTTCGCTGAAAAAAAAGGAATAATTCCTTTGGCGGACGCGTATCCTACAAAATTGCTTTCCATTTCGCAGAGAATAAAAAGGACGTTGTCATTCACAAGCACGATAGCGCTAAGTCCGTCTCTGATGCAGGTACGTTTATCTATTAAACTCGTAATATTGATCATTTCAGATCAATTAATGTTTAAATTATTTTCTGTTTCATCCAACGATATGATTGAATTTAAAATTTGACAGTTCGTTGAAAGTTGATCGGAATTCGTAATTTTACACGTGTTTGGAGAACGAAACAGTTAGTTCGATATTTTCAGATTACAGCAGAATTTGGAACTTGCAGGTCCCTGTAGGGAATAGTTACATGGACTCTGGCAATTGTAAGCTTTTAAGTATAATTGTTCTGAATTTTGGAACATATTAGAATTTACGCGAACCTTACACGAAATTAAAGTAGAATCGTATAGATTGAAACAAGTATTGATTGGATTTTGGAGCGCGTTTAGAGATCGTATATTTGACCGTCTAAATTTGAATATTTTTTCTGACCTTTTCTAATTCTGTCCTTTATACGCGCTCAACGCTGGAACTATCGACACTTGTGATGTATTTATTTATTCCAAAGAAATGAGAACGACAGATAAACGAAATAAATGTTTATTCGTTCTCTTATAGAAAAGTACAGTAAATTTTCAGAAATCTAGTCATTTTCAGAGTAAATTTTTTACAATTTTTATTAGAAATTACGAATGGGTCATTTTGAGCACATTGATAATTCTAGTGTTGATGGAAACTTTATAAAATTTAATCAGCAGTTGAAACAGAGAACGTACGAAACATTAAGGAAGATCGAATTTACAGAAGCTGAGTTCTATTATTCATTATCGGTATTCAGTGATCGGTAATAATTGTATTATGATGTTGAATTTGCAGATAATGATATGTGTCGATTCGGTAACATGACGATGCACATGGGCGATGAAGTGAACCAAAGAAACGACTATGATTCTGTGTGCGTAAAGTGCGTGTGCGAAGTTCCACCTGTTCCAACGTGTAAGCAACTTCCTTCCGGCGAATGTGACGTTACGAATCATGCTCCATTCGGGAATAATTTCTGAACCTAGAAATCTGTGATTCATACCAACGAAAAAGTATGAAAATATATTACTAGTCTTACGTACCTAAATATTGCAAATTTAAGGCAATAATTGCTATATCTGTAAAAACAAAAATTAGTCACTGGATGAGTTAAAATTGTTAATTTAATAAAATGTTTTAAAACGGCATTTAATGGTACGACTGTTTCGTTTTTCGTGTTTCTTAAATTATCGCCTCCCGCCACCAGTGAATTATCATATTTTTAAAAACCCATTAGCCTACATGTGGAAATATAATATTTTCACATGTTGAGGACAGTGCTTATAGGTAAACAATATAGATAGTAAATAATAGAAAAGTACGCGTGAAACAAAATAGAATTGACATCGAGACTTACAACTTAATTAGAAACCTGATTTTTAAATGAAAGAAATTTTAATGCCAGAAAATTCAATCGTTTTGATACACATTTCCTTGGATTTCGTATAAAAATCGAACTTTGAGAAAGAAATTAAGTAAATTCGACGTTTTATTTACTTTTTGCATTTCGTATTGTCACTAAGATATTTTTACAAACTGTAGTCGAAGAAATCTCTTGAATTTTCGATGGGAAAGAGAAGCCTTTGAAGCTCCCTTTCATTCGACATGGGAACTGTTCGACCGTGATAAGAAATTGCAGATGTTCGGCTTCACGACCTTCCCTATGATTAGGTTTATATACGAAAAAAATATCCGGCAGTGTCGTCCGCCCGAACGTATTATCGATAAATCCAACATTCTATTGGACACGAGATTGGGCTATTAATCGGGAGGGTGAGATCGTCTGTTCTTTGCGCGTCATTCACGGAACATTTGCTTGAAAAAATACGCATACTCTTTAAAGTTAGAGTCTAATGTTATCGTCCGGGCGAGGATTTCGGAATTGACATCGTAACGAGCCGCTGAAACCCACGGTGCAGCTCATTTCGGGTAATCGATCCATGCGCTCGATTGACACGCTACATTATTTGCAGGCTACGAATTTAATGCGTTTATGGCGCGTGCAAACATGACAAATATATGGTAAACGTATGTAGGGAATATACACTTTCGCAAAATTAAATATCAATATTAGTATTATATTAATACGTCAAATATATTTTGCATACGTTTGAAATATCGTTACGTTTATCGACGTTTACGATGAACTTGAAATCTTGGATCGATGATGTTTATCTTTCTATTACTTGACTTTTCTTGGTACTTGCATCCCGATATACAGGGTGTTCGGCCACCCTTGGGAAAAATTTTAATGGGAGATTCTAGAGGGCAAAATAAGACGACAATCAAGAATATCAATTTGTTGATTCAGGCTTCGTTAAAAAGTTATTAAAAAATTAAATTAAAAAATTTCAAATCGTTCTGGAAAAATTATTTTCAGTTGCGGGGGTCAATTACTATAATTTTTGGTGAATACACATACACCCAAAATCCTACCCACTTTCGAGAAGAAAATTCTTTACCGAAAATATACTGTGTGGCCGGAAATGTTTCTATAACTTTTTAACGAAGCCTCAATCAACAAATTGCTATTCTTGATTTTCGTCTTATTTTGGCCTCCAGAGTCTCCCATTAAAATTTTTCCCTGGGGTGGCCGAATACCCTGTATTTGAGAAATTTGTGCCACGCGGATAGAATTACTTTCTGTTAAGTTAATATAATAGGCGTTACATTTAACACGATCAAATTAAGCGCTTGTCGAAAAAGTCGTTAAACAATGCGAAGAGTTTTCTGCCCGGAAGGAATTAAAGTTAGTTTGCCGTGAAGTTCTTTCACTTTCACTACACATTTCGTGAATATTTTCGCGGACTTCTCTGTACGAAACGTTGCCGAGTTTCTGGCATAGTTGAAATGTAACGCTCCAGTATAAGGATGTAATTTACACCTGCATAAAACAATGGATTTAAACGGACCCGATTATGCTCTCTAGTCGAGGGAGTAGAACGACTGGGAACTTGCAAAATAGACGGTAAAATTTATAAAGAGAACGAGCAAAACCAAAATCTCAATTGGAGAAAGACTATTACTCTGCGCCTATAAAGTACAATTATAGTAACGTTGATGGTAATAATATTTATGATAATAATAAACTTGCTAAGTATACTTTGCTTAAATAAACATGAAAATAATATATCTGCTGTAACAAATAGTGATGTATCCAGATTCCATATTTGAAGTTACACAACACGTATGTAAATATTATTCGTTAGCAATTTACATTGAATTTGATCGATGCAATGACACGAAGATTATATAATATATATTTTAATTAAAATAAAAATCATATTTTAATGTAATCGCGTCAATACGAAAGTATAAAGTCTGTATAAAGTGTTACGGTTTTTATTTGAAAAGAATTTCCAGAGAAGGCATAAAAATTGGCCTCCCAAGACTAGAATACCCCGTTACTCGTTGAGCTTCCAAGTTTATGACCTGACAGTTCCCATAACCAAAAGCGGAGGGTCAACGCTTCAACACATTGTTACCCTCATCATCCCAAGAGTGTGCCTATAAGGGCCTTCGATTAAAGTGACGCGAGGAATCACTCAATCGAGGAGATAAACACGAATTCCCAAACTTTGCGTTATCCACGTTGTCGTTGATTTTAATTAAACTACGCTCGAACAGCGACAAAAATTCCCGTTATTTTAATAAACATACGCGTTTAAAATTTTTCTTTATATCGCGTACTGTTTCGAGCACGGGATTTTTCAAACGCAAACAAAATGTATTTACACTGACTTCAAACAATCTGCACGTTTGTGACGGCACGGACAAGTTTTTTTTAAGTCAGCGTGCACGGCCGTATTCGCGATGCGAGGTGTCGGGAACGTTACTTTTCATAATTTATACTTTCATGCATATTTTAGTTTTGCCCCATACCGTGTTCATATTCTTTTCCTCTTCTTTTTCTTCTTTTTTCCTCTTTTTTTATTTTTTTTCGAAGCAGTCGAGCGCGCGGAGATAAAACGTCGAACCTTTGTACATTTTATCTGTTTCGGACCTTCCGCGTCTACATTATTCGATTTGCTTTGTCCCTTCACTCGGGGCTTCGTTCCTTTTCTTACCTTCTGTTTTCTTCGCCACTTATTGTTACACGCTTGATAAAATTCCTTTCCGGAACCGCCTCGACTAAAAAACGAAAAATTTACTTCCTCGAAGCGCGTTTTATTCGTATCGAATCGCGTTATATTTGTAACGACGAGATTTATGCAACGATAATAATTTCTCGCTAAACGGGAGAAAAATACCCTTTAGTGTTACAGATACGACACAGATACTGACTAGACAAGACACGAACACGATGGAAAGATCTTCCTCGAGTTGACTTTAAGTCATTCGCGAATAATAAAAGGAAATTATAATTAACATTCATTTCTTATTTATATTGTATGAAATCTATAAAATGGTTATCAGCGACAACTTTACCGTAATTTTTCTCATATTGATTGTAATTTTATCTAACGCTCAATATTCTGTCAATCACAGAATGACCGAAAGATATTTCCGGTGCATACTTCCTGTTATTGATCTATCGAGAGACGTTAATTGCTATCTTGAACGACCGAAAGCATTATTGCAATTGAGTGTGAGTATACTTACCGTTCCGTTCTATCGGGGAATCTGTACAGTTCGCGTTCGCATGTAAAGCAGAACGCTCTAAGAAACACGTCAGTTGAATTGATTAGTTGATAGACAGGATTCGACTCGAGTTAAGTAACAGAATCTGTACAACGCTCGAGAACTAATCCGACTGTTGTTATTATTAATTTGTGCCGGAAATGTGTCTTGATCGTTACGTATAAATAGATATAGGATTATCAATTGGGAACACATGTATTTGAATAGGTAAATAGGTTCGGTAGCGTAACTGGGTTAGCGTGTAGGAACTGTTTCCTTGATTCCCATTTGCAATTGAATTTTTAGGTGCTTTTCTATTTAACCTAACCCAGACCAGTCTATTTTTCACTTCTAGATTAGTAAACATCACAATAATAACAATTATAGAGAACTTTAATAGTTATTTTTTATTTAACGACTTTATTTGACGAAGGAGAAGCAAGCGTAAATAAAAGTATATTAGAGTGTAATCGTACACAATTTTTAAATAAATTAAAATAACAAATAAAACATAATAAAAATAAAAATAGGCGATCGTTATCCTCGAAGTGCGAACGTTTTCTTTTAACGATTTCGAATATTCTCTCCGTATCGGGCAAACTTGGGCAGCTAGGCTTGACATTGACTTAAAGCTTAATTGTAAGGAATGTATGTGTGTGTATCGGAGAACCGTTATCGTTGGCGTCGATGTGTTTAGGAAGTGTTTAGGCTAGGATCGATGAGTGAGGAGTTTAGGTTTAAGCTAAAGTATGTTCAGGGGACTGCGCCTCGAACGTGCGTTTTGTTTAGATTATTATTATGTAGAGAGGAATCGAGAATGTTCGACTTCGACGGCAGAAAGTCACTCTGCATCGACGCTAGACGAGAGCAGTTACTGTTTCGCGTTTATGGTTTTTTCTTTTATGTTTACGCTTTATGTCCTTATGTTTTATGTTCTTTACGTTAAATAGTTTTAGTAAATATTCAATAATATAGTTATATTGTTACGTTTAGTGTTCACGTGTTTGAATCCGTCCACATGCCTCTCTGACCATCCTCGACAATCCTTACATAATATCCTCTTAAATGGTAAAAAAATGGTCACGAAGTTACTTCTTGTTAGTCTTTTTAAAACTCGAGTCAAAGTTGAAAACATTTAATACAAAAGATTGATAGAGATTGTTAGTATAGCAAAAAAGTTAATCAGCAGTTTGAAAGGTTTTATAATACTGAGCATAACTAATAAAAGTCAAGTAATTCGGATGAAAAAATTTGGCGATTGGCACACTTTCCCGGAAAATGTATAGAAAATTGCCATAAATTTTGAAGCACCACTTTCAATTACAAAACTGTAAATTCAGTGAAAAACGAAGATAGTGTTACAATGTGTATTTCAAATTATAGTAAGCTATCATTTATAGATATTAGTTTTAATGTACGTAATGAACTTGCTCCTCGGTTTCTGATGACGAAGAAAATCTTGTATCCGTGCTTCGTCGCTGCCACGGTGAGATTCACCTCGATGTTCTTCGTCGTGTTGTTCGATCTC